CATTGAAAAACAATATCTTTGACCAGGTATCACCGGCAGCGATGGCAAAGCCCTTGTCCTCCTGGACGCCGCCGCGCGCCTGCGTAGCGGCGTAGCCAACGAAGTATGACAGCGCACCAATGAAAGTGGGGCGGAAGGGTTCTTCGACCGCCAGCGTCGGCTTGAAGGTCACTGTTCCAATGTCATAGCCGTAGAGCTCATTGATGGCATCCTCAGCCAGCTGGATATAGGTCGAACTGTTGGGATCATCCCGGTAGGCAGCGGAGATCCTCAAGATTGCCTTCTTCCATGCCGTCTGCGTAGCCTCAACCTCCTCGTCGCAGCGTCCCCCAAAACCGTCGGAGCCCCACTTGGACCATTCTGACGACGCAGCTTCCAGTTCGAGCTCACCTTCCGAAGAGCGAACGTGCTGCAACAGCACGCTCTCCTCGCCGGAGTCGCAGTCAGTGCATGTGGCACCTGCCAGTTCGTGCACGCAGCAAAGCACCACAGCAACTCCTGTCAACAGGGAGTTGTGCATCATCGCGTGCGTGGCGTGCCGAGCACAGTCTTCCCCGCGCGAACCCTACTTCAAACCAGGGGCCTTAAGGCAAAACTTGAGCGAAGTGGCCAACAGGTCAGCTTGACAGCGGTCAACACAGCGCACACAGATTCTGAACAAAAACGAGGAATGTGACGGGCCTGGCCCAGCCCTCAGCTAAACGTTGCAAAAGTCATGGTGGCACTCAAGGCTCCCCAGCAACAGAGAAGTGACAGCGTCCATGCCGGGCCTTCCATGGTCTTTGCGGTCCCGTGCGAAGCAGCGAAGCACGCTGAGGAGCTGACTGGCCACAGGTTCCAGGTTTCGAGTCTGGATTCAAATTGGCTGGATGCAAACGCTCCTGAAACCCATCCCTGTCCAATCGTCTGACTACGTACTCGGGCCCATTGAATACGACCTTCGCGTTGACCCCGATCTCTAAGCTTGAATGGGCCTTTCTCAGAATCAGGAGCCTTGTTTTGTATCATTCTTACTCCTTCCTTTGGTCCATTTCTCGCCTAGCTCGCAAGATCCAAGTCCTCTGCACAGGTTGTGCAGACTTAGGGTAACGTCAAGACCAAGTATTTAACAGAAATATGAGCCGATAATCCCTCGATAACTGTTGTAAAGTCTTCCCCAAAACCGGGTTCGAATTCCTAAGGTCCTTATAATTATAGCAGTATAAGGTTTGTCCGTGCAGTTGAAGGGAATGAAATGGAATAGACGTAGCCCATAGATGCCATAGACATCTTCGCCAAAGAACCGTTCTCTGCACATAAGCCTGTTATGGTCACTGTATCTCAACCCTTGGCTCCTGCCTGCGGGACCATCAAGCGCTTCTTGCCGTCGCCAAGACGAGCAGCAAAAACGGCTCTCTCAGAACCTGACCAAACAGACACGGACGCATTGCAAAGAGAGAGAGAGAGAGAGAGAGAGTTCTTGCTTCCGGCTTCTGAATTCACATGAAATCTCGTGAGCCACCTGCCTGCCAAGCCGGCCTTCGGGCACTACACAGCGGCAATCACTCAAAGTTATGTGAGCTATAGTCTAAACTCCTAGTATCCCCCTTAATAAGCCCTGTAGTAGTCCCCTATATAATCCCCTATATAACGCCCTTTAAGGAGTTTAGACTGTGGCTCATGTGAACACGACACCATCAGCGGCCAAAATCTCAATGGCGAAGAGAAGGAGGAGGAGGAGGAGTGGCCACATCAAGTTTGGATTCGCTCACTTTGAAGGCTTCTAGACAGACCCATACAGAAAGACATCAACAGGACCCAGCCAGTCTCCATTAGGTCTGCATGCTGAAGACGACGTTCAACATCTACTGGGCTGCTACCATATCATGGGTGTCTAGTGAAGAATATGTTTTTTGTTATACTAAGTTACCTTCAGGTCCTTAACAGCAACCCATTTGACCCAGATCAGGTGGCTTGGAGGACTGCTGGGTCAGAATCCTGCCGAAAAGCGTGCATATACCTGTAAGAAATGCCTTGAGCCCCAGAAAGAATGGCAATGTAAGCTTTTATTCTTATGCATCCCAAACCCCAAACCCTAAACCCTTGCTGGGAGGTCTGGGAAATCTTCAAAACCTTAAACCCTAAACCCTAAACTCTGAAGCCCTAAAACCTGCCTTGCAAGCTCTGCCTGCTTCAGCTCGTAGGGCCTCAGCGATTTTTGGGGACTTTCGCCCATCAAAGGGGTATGTTGGAATTGCTGTGGGGGGTCACCTTGAAGTCAGACTTTCCTGGGCAATGATTTTTTAGAGATTGAAGGGGAGCTCTTGAGGACTCTAGGGACATGTGGGGACCTCAAACAGATTGTGTTGGGGGCATTCATTTTGGAAAAGCTCCTGCGAAAAGAAAAAAAAGTGGACGCGCCTTCGCAACTTCTACCAGGCTGTGAGCTGGTAATTGTGGGGATGATAGTTTGGGGTTCAGGGTTGATTGTAATGTACCACATAATGCGAGTATTTACTATTGGGGGGGGTGGTGGGGGGAGAGAATTATGGGGATGAGGGTTTTGGGCTTAGGGATCCGGGCTTAGGTTGGGATCTTGTCAGTACACTGGGCTACACCTGCGTACCCCTAAAAATCCTCGCAATTGGCAAATTACACTGGGACTATGGAGTTTCTTGTAAGGCTTTGCTTGCTAGGTTGAGCGGCTGGTCTGGAACAAGCGCTATAGATCCACCTCGTGGCAGCCGTCGCCATAGTTTCGAGAATGCATCGCCTGAACCACTATAAACGGTACATCCCGAAACCTTCAACGGTAACCCCAAACCCTAAGGCCAAACCCAAACCCACCTGCCCGTCGACCTTCAACCCTCCACCCTGCATCCCCCACCTTACTCCTGTAAATGGAGCCTGGTGGTATAGTACCCACACAAGGCTCCACAATAGTTTCTGGAACCCGTGCCCTCATTCCCAATTACGCATGGGTATGTAAACCCATAGCTTGAAGATGGTTGAGGTACTCTTTGAACTGAACATTCTTAATCTCAATGGTTTTCGGGTATACATTAAACCGTAGCCCTACATCCCTAAGCCCCATAATCCCAAAAAAGCGGCTCGCCGTGAGGTAGCGGCTGAGGACAGCCTTGTGTCTGATGGCACAGGACCTGGTAGTGTCCCCAACGGTTTAGGGTTTAGGGTTTGGCCTTCAGAAGCCCTAGCAAGTAACATGATAAATATGATTGAGGCTATGCGAGGGGGCCCACTCAGGGGTCCGAGGGGGATTACTTTGAGAATCCCCACCCTATATCTGTCATGGAAGATGAGAGGTTTGCCATGTAAGGCCGAAGGCTTAGGTTCTAAAGGGCACGGGTCGGGGGTGTGGCTTAGCACAAATGGAGGATTCAGGATTTGGGGTATACTACGCAGTCCATGGTCCTTGAGTTCCTTAAGCCTCTGTTAGAAGTGGATACCGTTCCGCAAGGTTGTGCATCGAACTGATGACAAGCAATTGCTGGTGTCCCAGGAAAGACACCTGTCAGTGCGCTGGCTTGCTGCACGGAATAGTACTAATTAGGAGTTGTGGGGTATTGCCAAATTGTTACCTAGGCTTTTCCTGCTTAATGCAAAAGGCTAAATGAGTACCGTTTCATATTTTCTGATATAGGGTATCTGACATCGACCTCAAAACAATGTTGATACTTATTTAGGTCTGACACCAATCCCTGAACCCTATCTGTCAGTGCCCTGGCTTGCTGAAGATTACGGACGAAGGTCAAATCAGCGCGCAGGACTAGCTACGGGAATTACCATGACCATGATCGCCAGCATCACTCACCATCATCACTAGCAACATCATTCAAGAAGCTTGCATCCTCATACCTGCATACTGCCCACGAGTGAAGACGCACAGACTTTCTCTCAACTGGCTTCGTCCTGCTGGGTGACGAAGAGTTCGTAAAGTGGCCGATGCTAACACGTAGCGGAACAGGCCACTTTCTGCCCGGACTGTTGCTTGGCAGCTTGAGGCGGATGACCCTGTTGCTTACCCGTTGCAGCAGAAAGAATCATGTTAAGAGCTGCGCTGCATAAGGACGTAGTCACTTATTTACTTCGCCCTCCGCAGTAATGCATAGCATAACTCCGAACGTTACGAAGGCACACTGGGAAGGAAAAGGACCGTCCACCAGACAAAGACATTGCAAGGTCTGCATTCGGGGCAGACGCTTGCCAAAATTCTGAGATAACACCCCTCTCATTGGCACTGATTCGCCGGATAAGAAGGTTCAACCCAATCTTACCCAGGATCATGCTTCAAAAATCGGCTGCCGTCCAAAAGCAAGACTTCATACTGACTGGCAGCCTTGGCATTTAAAAGCTGTAAACCTGTGGTAAACCTGTAGCCCTTTCAGGTTTTGGGAGCAGTTCAAAACGAATTCATCGACCAGCTGTCGCTGGCAATGAGGAGTGGTGGACAATGATTTTCAAGCCCCACCACGTCTTCTTGTAAACAAAACTGTACTCGACCCCGGTTCTGCTCTCGGAAACTGCGTTGGTGAAGTAGTAGTAGCCCTGGGAATATGCAACATCTCCCACGCAGCTGGTCTGATTGTTTTCAAATTCAACCTCTGACCAGGTATCACCGGAAGCGACGGCAAAGCCTTTATCCTCCTCGATGCCGCCCCGAGCCTTCGTCGGGATGTAGCCAACGAAGTATGACAGTGCACCGATGTAAGTGGGGCGGAAGGGTTCTTGCACTGCTAGGGTCGGCTTGAACATAACGGTTGCAATGTCATATCCGTAGAGCTTCTGGATGGCTTGCTCCGCCAGATGGATGTACTGCGGACTGTTAGGATCATCTCTGTAAGAGGCAGAGATGCCCAGGATAGCATCTTTCCATGCTGTCTGAGTTGCTTCAACATCCTCTTCGCAGCTTCGCCAGCTTGCCTTCTTATACTGGCGAATCCTGTGGAACCTGCGGAACAGCCATGTGTCCGTGGCGGCATTCTTCCCTTCTTCTTCCCCTCGCTGCATCAAATTGGAACTGGCATCCGTCGGAAACCCTGGGATTGGAGCTGGCAGAGAGGAGTGGTGCACCAGAATCTTCAACTTGCCGGACATGATCTTCTTGTACACGAAGCTGTACTCCACTCCTGTCTCTGCCCCAGATGCTGCGTTGGTGAAGTAATAGTACCCCTGGGCAAGCGCAAGGTTTCCCAGGCAACTGACCCGATCATTGAAAAACAATATCTTTGACCA